TGTATTTGTTCTATACGAGTACACTTCGTGATTCATTACACAAGGAAAGTTTCACACATTAGGTCAGAGAAAGGGATCATTCTAGCACACAGGCTTCCTGTCTTGCTCAGTAACAGAGAAAGTGAGGACGTGTCTTCAATGAGTTCTATGTCATATGCACTTTACAGATGTTAGCAGAGTTCACCTTCACATCAAGTCCACATGTCTGTCATTGACCTTCTAGTGTTAGATCAGTGTGAAAAACGACAGTCAGATGTACGGCTCTCCTTCTACTTGGATTTCTTCATCTCAGTCTTCTGATGCAAAAAGAATTTGCAAACTTTCAGGACGTAGGTACTATTCTCTTTATTTTGTTGGTAATAAATGAGATGGAAATGAGGAATGGTATGGGAATTTCTTCTGCTGTCTCCATATCACATTTCCTCTCCAACCTGATTACATTTGTTGAATGTTTCCTAAAGGGAGCATGTTTCGTTGCTCCTAGCAGCATCAAATACGATCCATATTTATTGTCAGTCATCTGCAAACAATTAAAAGAAATAATCTACTTCTATGCTAGATGCCAAGGTGGCATCTAGAGATGTGTAAGAACATACACTGATCAATACACAATACACCAGAGTTTAATGCAAGATACTCAAAATCAACGCCAGAAGAGCTAGCTTCCTATTGCCATATTCCTAACCACTAGCAGTATAATTTAGTCAAAGTCACCAAACTGCACTTTTTCTCAATGAAAACCAGAGGTCACAAGCAACAGAAAAGAAAATAAAGCAGAGAGGTATGTGGTATAAGCATCAGGCCTGCAAAAATCAATATTGGTCTTAAAAGCAAATGATACAGAGAGACTTGCAAGGCAAATGATCTGTTGATCTCAGGAGTGTGCTATGAGCAGCCAGGAACTCTATTATTTTTTGGTTCATACAGACCTTCACAATCCTTTTGAAGGATAGGGCATTTCAACTTAGTCTGAGGGCCAATATGCATCCCAAAGACCAGTGTCTCTCCAAGTATGGATTTGTCGAAGCCAAGCAGATCTTATAAAACAGTATCAGCTCTCCTCCAAACTTCCTTTCCAGGTTTGGCAATCTGCCTACAACCTACGCACTTGTGGGCCTTAGTGTAATCCTTCTTGCCTAGAAAATAAAGTAAACCAATGTGTGACCTGAAAATTCTCCAGTATAATACTTGAAAATAGTAAGAGTTTGACAAAAATTTAAATAACAGATTTTTAAATTTCCACAATGTAAGTGTCAAGGGACACTTTAGTCTATGCTTTCTGCTTGCTGTTGTATTTATTGCACCAGGTTTTATGTGTGTCTCATAGTGGAGAATAATTCACTGGATAAGTGTTGGATGAAGAACATTAACTCAATAAAAGTATCAAGAGCTCAATGAGTAGAGGTACATGTTTTTATTTGTCTCTGTTGTTTTGATTCCTTCTCCAAATAAGGACAATTCTAAGCATCTGGTTTTTATGCTGAACTTCACTGAAGCAAAAGCACATACAGTGCAAACCCAGGTGGAAACTTTGACTGTTGTCGTGTTTTAGTCTTTTAAAAATGGTGCTCCAGGGAATGCAAACAATCTACGTAAAACAATTTGGAGCTCTTAAAAAGTGTATAGGAACCTGAAGAATCGTATACCTGCAAGAGTTTTCCACATATTCATATAACTATGCCAATGTCTTTCTTTACATGGGATGTTTAAGTACATCGTATGGTATGCAATGTAAATGTTTTGTTGTAAGCTGCAACACTGGTGTTGTTTGACTGTCCTGTGTGAAAAAAGACAGTTCAGATGCCAATACCAAGAGCTCTAGGTGTGGGATTTAGACTCAGAAGCTCTAAATGTTTTAGAAAAACAGAGCACGTTAAATTTTAAATCTCTCATCATAAAGAAAATGTCAATAATAAAAAAAAGTTGAAAAAAAGACTATAGCAATAACACAACCGACATAGAGCTACTCCTTAAGAGCCTCTCATGTTTTATTTCATGTTCTGTTTCTATTAATTTTATTAATGGGACTCTGAGGCTCCTATTAGTCTTAATTCGATTTTTCAGATACAATTGCAAAGGCCTACTGAGGTTGCTAACTCTCACTGAGACACACACCCGGCAAGAGATAGTGGTGGAGTTCCAGCCTTCACTTATTCAACAAATTACTGTGACAGGAAGTCTGGCCACCTTTAACCATATGCTTTCCCATCAAGTTTATGGCTGTGAGCTGAAATGAGAACTAAATACTTTAGTAAATAAACCTTTCTGTTCTCGGTATAAACGGCAGTTCTGCTTTATGTTTGCACACGTGGGGTATCTGTCCATGAATGGCAGTGCACTGCGTTTGGATATTTTAAAGGATGTCTGTGATGGTGAGGCTCATAGGTCAGTGAAATGCATATGACAGCTAGCTGCTTCCTGATACACACCGAAATTTATCCAGCAAGTACACAGATTTCCCAGTTACTTTATGTTTGTCCTTTGTAAGATGCTGGGATACTTCAATGGGTTAGTGATTCTTATGGTACCACATCCTACAGGATTGCCTTTGGAGTTTTTCAGTTTTACAATTATTAACCATAGAGTAGTATTCCAAAACATATTCACAGTACATACATGCTAAAGCCTGGCATGCATGCATTTTCAGTAACTTCTAAGACTCTGTGTGTGTGTGTGTGTGTGTGTGTGTGTGTGTGTGTGTGAATTTTACCCTCAATTTACAGATTTCTCAGTAACTGAAGTTTAAACAGGTAGTCCAACAAAGCCACAAACCAATGTTCCACTGCCTTATCCATATAAAGGCAATTGTAAGTGTCCAGTGCTGATACTGGACTTTATTTCAAGTTACTGAACAACTATGCAAGTTGAAAACCAAGAGTTCCTATTTGTTGGTTGGCTGGGTTTTTGGTAGTTTGCCAAGAAGAAAACAAGAGAAGAAAACAAATACAAATTTATTTCTCCTCACAGAGTTTTGTCTAGTTCCATGTTCCTTTGATATTTTGACTTCAACATTGGGCTTGACGACTGGCAAGAAAGTAGCTGTCGAAGGCAGTTTCCTTTGCAATAAAGCTGGTTTCCATGGTGCTGAATTTTTCATTTAAAAGCTACATGTGGGTCCTAACATACAGGGTGTTAGTACCCAGGCCAGGGTCAGGTCACACAGGGCTATAGAAGGGAAGCATGCATGCTGCATACAAACACCAGCACATGCGATGTTGCTTCATGCACTCTAGCTCATATTTGAAGGAATGAAATTTGATTATTTTGAGGCATGTGTCATAAGGTCAGTGAATGATACTGGTTGTTTTCATTTTGAAAACAACTTTCACATGGCTGATTGTGATCTTTTGGGACTTGGCAGTGCCGTTTCTAACACAGGGTTGTCACTTTCAAAATGCATAACACAAAATTAAAACACTGATCACATTAATGATGGCTGGAAATTGTTACACACATCCATTGCTTTGTATTCTTCGCGTTATTGTCTTACTAAGCTAAGCACACTTGATTGCATCCAAAATCTGGGCTTGAGTATATCTTGGGCAAAGATTGTTGTAGTTATAATCGATCACGATTTTAAAAAAAAGTTTGGAAATCTATCACTATACAATCTAAAGATACAATAAATGCTTATTTTCCTCAATAGTCTAGAAAAAACATGCAAAGTTAATATTCAGAATTTTTTCCACTCCTTAAAACTAAACTTCATGTGACTAAAGAAAATACCCTTCAAACAGTAAGCTTATGGGGGGGGTCGTCATGCTCAGTGACGAAAGCAAATAAGTAAGCAGGAGTTTCTAAGTTTTTCTAAGGGGTTCGCTAGTTGAAGACCAGGACTAGTGGAGTCACCAAGAGACGCGGACTGCTTAAGAGCCTCGCTATGAGCATCTCTGCGAGTTGCCCTCAAAACCAGGCCAATTCCTAGAAAGAGTGTGGGCTAGAACCCCAGAGTCTCTTTTTTGCTATAGGAGAGATGGGGGATGCTGCCAGATCTATAGGCTGTCAACACTTCACCTATTGCTGGCCCTGTGACCATCTCTAATAAGAACAGGGACTATGAAGACACTGTGAGAATAGCAGCAGAGAACCCACATTAGTTTGAAAGGAAAAGTCAGAGGTTCCTCAATGCCCAAAGCCCAGACCTCTAGGAACCAAATCTCGACAGTGAGAGCTGTGCATGCAGGTACGTGAGTCCACAAGGACACTTTTGTTAGGAGTGCTGGCAGCTAGTTTGTTTGTGACTGCGGAATCCTGTCTTCAGTGTTCCGGGAGTCTCTTTTAAATCTCTTTGGAGATCTGAGCCTCATCCCCCCACCCAGGAAGTTGTCTGGTTTGGGATTAGATGCTGTGGCTGGAAAGTGAGTAAGATTGGGCAGGGAAAGGAAACTTTAGTGTTCGTTGGTCATCCTCCCAGATCCTTGCACTCTCGAACTCTCTCCAGTGTATACCTCAGACTTTGCAGACTCCATACAGAAGAATTCAATTTATAGATGAGAACTTGAAGGCTAACATGCTTTGCTATGTTCCCATGATGCTAGTGGGTCAGGGATTCTATCCTTAAGGTTCTGGTATGCTTGAGTGTGACCTGGACTAGTGGACTGATGAACATCCACTTAGGCATCCTGAAGAGAGATCTCACACCAACCCCCAATCGCCCAATTCAAATGGTCAAAGGCATGCTCAACCTGATGCCTAGAGTAGGAGCCTGCCTGCTTGAGCCTGGATTCCCCCGGACTCTGCTTGGATCTCAGGTTGAAAAACCCGCCAACCATACATTCCGGGAAAGCCTGGCACCTGCCAGGAGGGAAGCAGTGAAGCGACTCCCACTTTGTTGTGAGCTTTGGGTACACACTGATCCCCTACCACCCCCAGCTCGCATCCCCTGCATCGGCGCCCCTGTGCGCGCTGCCTTGCCCGGACCCGCTGCGCCCTCGCCCGCCACGCGGAGCGATCAGGACCCTGTATCCTACAACGTGGAGCGCTTCCGCGGGCTCACTCACCGATCCTGAGCACTTGCGGGGCGGTCTGAGGGAGGATGTAGCACAGGAAATAGAGGAGTGTCCAGCTGGTGTCCCTGGTCCAAAGCCCGGGCAAGATGAGGACCGTGCTGCGCTCCATCTTCCAAGCTTCTTAATTCATGCCGAGACACACTGGTGGCCTCATGTCCGGGAGATGCACCCAACTTGGGCTGGGTCCCTGCCTCATCCTCCTTGGGTGTTCTCAGGCTGCACACCAAGCGCCCTCTGCTCTCAGGAGACCGAGATGGAGGGAACCCGCGTGGGAACCTGGAGCAGCTTGCGAGACTGAGCTGCGTGAGGCTTAGTGCACTGGTCCTTAGCCCATCACTGCTTGCCCTCCTCCTCCTCCATGGGCCGCATACCTCCAAGAAGCAGCAGGATCCCGCTCCTGGAGCCCCGAAACCAGCTGAGGAAAGTTGTTACCTCGGTTTGCTGGAACGTCTCCCTCATTCGTCCTCTGGTCAGATGCAGAAGTGAAGGGTGGGGGAGTGGGTAGAGGGTGCAGGGTGCAGTGAGGAGAGGAGAGGGAAGGGGAAAGAAGACACCCAAGGAGAGAGGGAACTGGGTGAGTTGATGCAGCGCTCAGAACAAGCAGGATGAGCTCCAGCAGGTTAACTGGGATGTAAGCCCTGCTTTTGCTTCTTTCTCGGTCCTACTTCCCTCCTCCCCTCTTGGCCCCACCCTTTATTTACTGCCCGCCCCAGCCAACCCTACTAACCCAGCCAGACACACTCACACAATCGCGTGCATACGCGCACGCGCGTGCGGGGACACACACACACACACACACACACACACTCACACACACACACACACACCGCGCGCGCGCGCACACACATACACACACACACACACACACACATTTACACAACGCACGCACGCATGCAGTCGATCTCCAACTTTGTGCTTGCTGGGAAGTCCTCGGAGTGTTGCATCCCCAAGACAGATCAAATCTAACCCATTAGTCCCTAGGCAGGGAGAGTCCTGCTCTCCTCCGTGAATGACAGCCTTATTCCTAGGTGCCTATGTGGGGGTCCTAGAGATGACTAGCACATGATAGGAAATCACAGCCTCTGAGGGGGAGATTCAAGAAATTATCAGAGATTTCATTTTTAACTCTGAGGAGAATGAAGAGACAGGGAAAAGAGAAGGAAGGAGAAGAAGGAAAAGAAATGAGCACCCTTCAGTCTTTTTTAAGATTATAGTGACTCTTCCTATCTGGACCTGAGATAATGTCTTGAAAATTGCTTCCATTTACAAGCGCGGAGCTGAGAAAGAGGCAGCTTCAGGCACGTTGCTTTTCTTAATTTCTTCTGGCTGTCACGTTTGAACACTGGAAATAGGCTATTCTAACAATGTAGGTTTAGAGACCATTTCTCTGTAGAAGGACAAGGACACTTCCCTGGGGAAATCAGCATTTGCTCCTGTTGGCTTAATTTCCTTTGAGCTTTCTGAGGAATGTTCCATATAAATGTTTGCTGGTTCTGTATGAACACCTCAAGGTGCTCCCCTCCCCCAAGTAGAGACTTGGAAAGTTGATCTAAATTGAGTTAATTCATAAAAGGAACGCCCATAGTTATATGAGCCTATAATGTGAAGGAATTACAAACGTAGTGTATCTTAAAATTTATTTATTCCACATGTGCATATTGAGTAGCTTGTATCTGATGGTAGGGAAAACCCTCGCCAAACAACCAATCATGAGAAAAAGCACATCATCTCCAAGGAGGCTGTAGTGTCACTGATGGAAGCTAGTAGGCCACATTCTATGTGTGTGTGTGTGCACGTGCACACATACGTGCAAGGTTCTCAACTTTTCTGGATGTGAGTTGAGGAAATAGAACATGCACTCAGATAAGAGGATTTGTGCAGATTCGGGGTACAACTCAGCATGGAAAAGATCAAGGGCATAGGTGGCTATCTGCAGTAACCCCAATTTCTTGTATTGAAGAAAGGAGGCTTTCCTAGTGTTGGCTCAATGAGAAGAAATGCAAAAGTAAGAATAGTAGATGAAAATTGGAGAAAAAATCAACTCCAACTTATTTTAGACTGTTTCCAAAACCGGATAGAAGACTACAATGACATGATCTGTCTAAGAAGACAACCATATTCTTATTCATTGATCCACCTAGCAATAGATTTATCCACTGATTCATCCATCCATCTATCCATGCAATGCATTTTTTGAGGACCTAGGTCCTGTGAAACATTGTGCCAAGTCTTGAACACACAGCAGGAATATGGTTACTACTACCTTGAAATATATAGCCTTTAAAAAATGTGGGCTCTGTTGATACAGCTCAGTGGTAGAGCTCCTGCTTGGCACACATAAAGCCCTGGGTTCTCTCTCCAACCTTAAAAAAAGTCAGTTTCATATGGTAGGTGCAAAGAAAAGAAGAAGTTGACCTCATTTAAGAGTTCGTAAAGGGTTGTTATTGTACTGATCCTTTGATGAACGACTGGTAAATAATTCTTAAAGTAAGAATTTTAAAAAGCTGTTGGCTTATTTTTAAACTTGAGATTTTTATTAATCATTATCTATTTATTTTTACCTTGGGATATCCAAATCTAAGGAATAGTAGGTGAGGTCTTATGTGACAAATCTTGGGAACGCAAGGTCAAGAATTTAGTTGTCTTCTGCGTACCTAGTGTAGGTTCTAGTGTAGTCTAGTTTTTTTTTTCCTTTAAGTTTGCTAAGGCCTTTTTAAAAATCTCTCTCTAGTAGCTTGTGTGCACTTGCTCATATCTAAATTTTTCCTTAGGTTGGCTTGTACAGACTGTACCTTTTCTATTAAGAAGAGTACTGTAATTATAGCCAAGGGAATGTGTGTGACAGAATTGTACTCCACTTGTAGGTGAAATCAAGACAGGAAAGGGGCATTCCACTTGGTACTCCTGTGTTCTCACATCCCTTTAGGAAAAAAATCCCAGAAAACCAGAACTTCTAAAGATCTTGATGCCAGTGACATGGATACTACAGTCATCTTTTGTGGGAAAATTGTTCTGAATAGTTAGTTGTTACACTGACAGAAAACACGTAAAGCAGTGACAATTCAAGTTTAGTTTTTATTCGGTATGATTGTGAAATACTTGTTACTCAACACACCCTAATCAGTCTGACTAGTGTACTCCCCAAGCTGTAATATCCTTGTATGTAACATGAAAGTAATAATAATACACGAGGACCATTGAAACACTAAGACACCTGTCAGGATTATTTCCCACAACCCTTACTGCACAATATATATGAGTTCCTTTCTGCTCATTACATTTTGGCTAACGGAATACCTACCTAAATTACATTTTATTCTGTAAACAGTCCCAGAGAACAATGACCAAGACAATTTGTCTGCTGCAAAATGAATTAACAAAAGTGGTCCAACTAGTAGTATAGAATAGTAACTGGTCTCTGTGTTCTAATACTATTTAAGGAAGTTTTACTGCTTTTCAGATGTGTGACCTTTAGGGGATGAGAGAAATTTTCCTTCTCGTTGTTAGAGAGAAATTGGATTCTGCAGGCTTCTTAAAGAATACATGGCTCACTTATGTTTCCTTTCAGCATCATCTATAGGATTCTGTGAAGCTCAGCACCGAAATGCATCTCCTTGTTAAAATGCTTCCCTCTGCTAGTCATGCACGCCGGCTTGTGGTGCTGGGTTCCTCATGAGTAGTTGTCAGCTGCTACTAATTTGTTCTGTGCTTTTTCAGGAGGGATGGGCTTTGTGCATACATGAATCTAGTTACATTTTGGTTCAAATATGACCATGGTGATGACTTAAGATGCTCAATGGAATGCATACACTCTCATTCCGAAGTCTTATGCTTTGACTCACGCACCTTGGCTGATCACAAAGCATCACAATATGTTCACCGCATTGTGCTTCCTAGGTAGGTGGGAGACATTGCTTAGATTGAGACCCATTTTCAAGCACTGAATTGAAGCCCCGTATTTTTTTGGCTACATCTTTATCCTTTTTTTTTTTTTAACAAAGTGATGGCATGCATTTTTATGATGTTAAGCATGGTTTAAGCCAAGGAGTTCAAACTCCTTTTCTTTGCTAGAATCCTCTATATAAACCACCCATTCACACAGCCAACTTTAGCCACCATTTGCAAATGACACAGTATCTCACACTCATTTCAATGTGAATACAGCCTTCCCTCCAGCTGTTAAAGTCAGAGACTTGGAGGTCACTCTTGCTTCTGCCCTTCAGTTTCCCTGGCTGAGCAGTTCATTTTCATATGTTCAGGGTTAAGCTCTAAGCCATGTCTTTAATCTACTTCTCTGTAACGTTACTGCTATCACAGTAGCCTAGGGGTTCCTAACTTCACAACTTTGAACACTTAGGAAGAGAAACTCTTGGCTGTGGACGCTGTCCTGTGCATTCCAGATCGGAAAGCCACTTTCCTACACTCTCTCCACTAGATGTCAGTAGTACTTCCTCCTTAGTGACAACGGACACTATCTACAGTGGGAAAAGGCCCTTAGAGTACAAAACCACCTTGGTGGAACCACTACAGTAGCGCAAGTGATTATGACTTTTCCATATCTTTTGCCATCCTACCCTGTTCTATGTCTCCTCCCCTGGTTTACTTCTGTCTATTAGTACTGTTCATTTGACCTAAACTGCCTCCTCTTGTCCTATGTAATATTCTGCTTAGTTCCATCATGCTTACTATCAACTCTCTAATGGTTTTGTCTATTATATTAAATACTGAAATGCTGTTGACCCAGAACTCCAGGGTCTAGTACTATGTCTGGCACTTAGATGGGGCCTGGTTAACACTTATCCAATAAGTAAACAGGTGAATAAAAGATGCTGCCTCAAAGTCATATAGCCTACAATCCGAATATGTAATTTATATAATTATGATAGAACAAACTGAGTCATCAGCTAAAATTCTCTTTTAATTTCATTCATCTACATTGACGAGTTTAATATTTACTGTTATCTTCAGTTTATTAATACAGTGTGTCCTATCTAGGAGAACTCAACTACAATACTCAGTGTGTTTCTTTAGGTTTCAGCGAAACGCTGTGCAGAGTAGTTTTTTCTCAACATTTCATTTTCCACATCATGGTTGTCATTACACATACCTTAACAATTTTATTAAAATTTCCTTACAAGCACTGTTGTGTTCGTCTAAACATGGCAGGAAGCAGCTATAGTGAAAAATCTAAAAGAAAAAATAGCATCTTGTCTATTCATCCCTTTGCACTTATCATAACCTCCCAGCAGTGTAAAGAAACAGAGTCACATGGAAAATCTGAATCTGGTTGACACTTAGCTACTTCCATGCATAAGTAGAGCTCATAGGCAAGGAAGTCTGGAAATGGTGAGACCTGGCACTCTGTATCCCACAGCTCAGAGTTTTAGATAAGTCTTTAAGACTTCATTTCTTCAGTCATGGACTGAATACTTTTTCCCGAGTCTCTGTTTTCATACCCAAGAAGAGGCTAGCCTTTAAGAGCCTGTATAAATGGCATCCATTTGTGAGGATTCTAATTTTTGTTCTCCTGTTTATAGAAAAAACAGTGTTTTCCTTAAAACAATAAATGTATTCAGCTTGGCATGGTAACACATGCCTATGATACCAGCATTCTGGAGGCAGAGGGCAGTGGATATTTATGAATTTAGTCTACATAATAAAGTTCCAGCCCACCTGTGGCCT